GATAGCGACACGGTGGGGCTGGCTCTCTCCGGTCTTGCGCGGCGCGCACCAGTCAACCCGGAGCCACGGTAGCGCAAGTACTGTGTTCGTCACGTTCAAGGGACAGTTACATCAGAAACGGCACGGCTCTCTTTTTACCGGTCTTTAAATAACGTTCGTGTGCAAAGTGTGAGGTTTCCTCTCTCGCGACCGATGTAACGACACGCGGCCAGATCGTATCCAACGTTTGGAGAACGTGTTACGGAGACTTATATATATATATATACATATACATATATACATATACACGATCGAATCGAGTGCTTTAAATTGTCGTGCCTATACGCGTGTATAATTATATATTAGAGTTATCTAAGGAAGGAAAGAAGATTCTATGTACACACCAATGTATATATATATATATATGTATGTATGTATGTATATACGTGTAAGATATAATTAAAGGGTAAGGGGGAAGAAAAAAAAAGTAAATCGCGAGTGGTGAGTGAGACACGTTGGACGAGACGGGGGTTGAAATCGGCCGTGGATAGTGGAGAACCGATGGCACGCGAGACAACGGAGTCATCCCCTTTGTCGGCTCGGCTCGATCGCGGACTCAGGGATCCTCGTGCGTGGAAAGTCGGAGGGATGGGGTCGTGACTGTCCCCGAGTGTCAGTCGACGCCCCAACACGACCGTCGACGCTCGGTCGCGGAAGAGGAAGGAAGGGATCCTGTTCGAAATCCGTTTTAGGGAACGGTTTTGGCCACAGCGCGGATCGGACACAGCGTGCGGATCTCGAGAGTCGTAGAGAGAGTCGCGCGGCGCAAGTGGAGGAGGGGAAGGAGAAGAAGGAAGAAAAAAAGAAGTATCGACGTTTCCACGGCGCTGGAGAGAGAGAGAGAAAGAGAGAGAAAGAGAGAGAGAGAGAGTGTTGTCTCACCCCCTCGCGTGGCGGATCACCCGTGCTTTGGAAGCGTGCAACGAACGAACGAGCGTGTGGTGTGCATCGAGCGGTATCCCGTGGCCCGGTCTCCACCAGTGAAAGTGAACGATGCGTCGAGACCACCGGCCTCGACACACACGCCGCTATTGTGACAGGGTTGAATTTCTGTGATAAGGGGGAGAGAGAGAAAAAAGAAAGGATCGATTTCGTCAGGTGAATTTGGAATCGAAGGGGATATATGTATATATATGTATGTGTGTATATATATATATATATCCGTGCATCCGTGGTTGGCATCTCTGGAGGGCAGCTTGTGCGTAGAGTGGTGGGTTTTCGCCGATTTATTTCACCGTGTTATTCCTTACTTCTTGTTATTAATACACATTTTCGTCGTCGTTTTCGCTCCATTCTGATAATAATTAAATCTACGCAGGATCACCTGTCGTATACGATACGCTCCCAACTAGGTATATATAGGGTAAGAATATAGGGAGGTTCGCGTTTCGTTTGGAAATTTTTCGTGGTATGTGGGACACGACGATCGAGATGCAAGTGACGTTTTCGATCGATATTTTTAGCATCGATTACATTCAACGATGGGAGAGAGGGTCTCGATAGTCGTGATCTCGGACCAACTATATAGTTTCCCACTTGTTTACCGTGCCATTTGTCACTTTACTGGCAAGATTCTTGGTCCGGGAGGAGGCCACGTCCGTTCGAAATTCGAAACCATTCCCTTTCCAACTTCCATTTTCCGCTTTCTCTCTCTCCGTTCTTCACCGTTCCTCCCTCTTTCAACCTCTCTTTCGACGTTTATTTATTTCCTTTCCCCCGTTTCACGCGGTCATGAATGTTCCCCTGTTCCTCTCGCGATCGCGATTCGCGAGTGTTTCGCTCTTTCTCGCGCTGTCTTTCCCTACCCCCGTCCCGCCTACACTCCCATTTACCTCCCGGTTATGGATATTATTAAGTAATACCTACGTTGCGCGCGCGGCCACGCGCTTGGACGTGTGTGCGTGCGTGGTTGCGTGCGTGCAGTGTGCTCGCACGCGCGCGTGCGCTCGACGTGTGCATGCGCGTTGGCAACGCACGCAGGCGAACGGGAAAGCGCGGGTTCTCATCTCGATTTTTGACGCTTCGACGCACGCAATGGGCCGCGATACGACGACGCGGCCTTTCCTTTCCGCGGCCGTTCTCCGAGAAAGGGAACACGGTAGGTAAGGTCTCCGGAAGACGAGACGAGAAGTTTTCGAGGAAAATGTTGGGTCGATCGATTTTTTGAGAAATTGATTCGCCAAAGTGGGAATATGAATTTGACAGATTATCGAAATTGAAGATCAAGAGAGAGATGGAACGGTTCTTTGGATTGTTTCTTGCATTTGATGTTCGTTTTGTATTGTAAGCTTTAAAGGATTTTGCAATATGAGAGTTAGTTAGAAGAAGTTATATTCGAGAGGAGATCGAAACCTTGCGATCCAAATTTAGGAGAATGTCGGGTAAATGTTTAAAGACGGATAATTGGGTTCAGACGTAGTTTCCTTTTTTAAGTCGCTTCTTATATCGATGCTTTCTATAAAAGTTATCCTTTTAACGGGAGTCATTCATATAAAAATGAATTATACGATTTTCGTATGGAAAAGGGAGCTTGGATTAAAGATAACTTTAACAATTACTTTTCTTATTGATAATACATTTGAAAATTGATCAATCGAGAATCGTGTAAATAGCACAATTTTAAAAAATTTATTTTTAGAGATACACAATTAAAATCAATTTCTTTCTAAAACGTTTTTTAATTATATTATTGGTCGGATCATCGTCGATCGTTTTCTCATTTTCGATAAATATTTTTGCCCCACTTTTGTTACTTCGTGTCGTTGACTTTTCAACGAAAATCGTCGAATGGAATCGTCACGTGGATCGCAATTAAAAAGACATAATTCGAATTAGAGCGCATTAGATCCATAGGGACAGACTCGTAATTTCTTATCTTCTAACGATGGACTCGTGATGCAAGCGGAAATACCCACGTGCCGCGATGTGAAACGGGAAAAAATTTATCTGAAAAGGTAGTACAATCGAAACTGTTGTTAACGTATTCCTTTCGCGATTGTCGACTAGAAATAGCTTTATGGCCGGGACGTTACTTCCGATCGAAACGATACATATATATCTGTCATTACTTTCGCATCTGAAATGCAATATATACGTATACGTGTGATTATATTGTGAAAAAGAAAAAAAAGGAATTCATGTTCTCGTCGTTGTTTGGGCGAAAAATAAGTTTTTAACAATTTCTTGCCGTGATCCTCTTGCGCCAATAATTTATAACACAGTTAGACACCTCTTTTAAGATTTTTCTTGCAATATCTTTTTCTTCTTTAAAAGTTTATTACAACAAACAGAAGAAAAAAAGTTCACTCGAGATTCTTTCTACTCTTTGCAACAAAGTCAACGAAAACATTTCTAATCTTATTCTACGATCTGCATTATTGAGGTCTGAAGGGAGTTAACGTGTTTACTATGGGATAAGGTACGTTTAGACGCATTAAAATTCTACGAGTGGAACGTGTAATCGAAATGTTTTAACCGTACAGAGGTAAAAGAAAGAATTTTAAAGAGATTGGAAGTACACGCCTATTTTCTGCCACTTCTTTTAAATTGCCTATAATTATCTTTCAATAAGACCGATGAAACTATTAAACTTTTAAACGCTCGTGGCCACTCGTCCGAACGCGTAAACAAACGTTCGTTCCGCTTCTCGATTTACGATCGCAGATCTTCGTGAAATATATTTCCTTCGATATTCAATCTCGATCAACTATCTCACTTTTCTTCGGGCGAATAAATCAATCGAACGTTTCCATACGTATATAGAATGCAAAATGCAAAAATTCAAACAAGATTCGAAACAAAAAAATCTTTCAACACTTGCATACATACACCCTTCATTCATACGTTTCCACAAAACGTCGCCCTAACAATTTATAATACTCCCACTCCCCACCCCATTAATCTCGTCACCTGTCCGCCTGATACCGATCGACGCGTCGCCTTGAAAAGTCATCATCCATCTTACCATGATCGTCGATCAAACGGGACGTCGACGAAACTCGCGCGTTTAAGCTCGATGCGCGAGGGTATCACCTGCGTGTTCCTCTATGCAGCAGAACAACAGCAGAAGCAGCGGCGGCGATGCCGTAATAACGCCGTCACGCTCGTGCCAGAACCAAAGTATACGCTCGGTGTACACGACCTAAATAAGATGCGATGCCCCCCGGGGCGAAAGTAATTCACAGACACACACACGCGTGCACCGGGGATACACACACACACACACGTACGTGGTTACACCGGCTATAGTTTACGAAGTGCCGCAGGAACGCTTTAGCGTAGAACGCGACCCGCGTTTTTCGAGAAATACGAAATAGAATCAATAAGATAATTGATTTATAGATGAACGATACGATTGGATAAGTTTTAATCTCGAGATCGAACATCGTTCTTTTTAATTTCAGTGAAAAAATTATTTTGATGATCGTGTTTATGTGTTTGTGTTTCTGATTTAGAGATATATATATACGCGTTTGGATATATCGAGTCGCATGGCAATTAGATGAGAAATGATTACATTGATTAGGTATCGTAATGGTTGGTTTATCTTATCGATGTCAGTTTTTGAAAATGCCTCGTGGAGAATAGGTTTGGAAATGCTTCGATAATAAGATCAGATAATAATGGGTGCATTGTACGTGTCGTCGGAGATACGAAGTTGTAGATTCATACAAAGTCCCTACTGCGAAATTACAGGCTTAACGAAGATCAATCGCGAATTTACGCGTTACCGCGAAACAGGCATGCTAACCGCGCGATAATGAAAGCATAGAAATCGGAGGATCGTTGGAAATTGACGATGTAGAGATCGATCGATCTGTTGATCATTGATCGGTCTCGTGATCGATGCGGAAAATTTTCGTTCGAAGGTGGATAATTAGAGACGGAATCGAGGGAATAAATTTAATTCCAGAGCGGTGAATCGTTCACGGAATTAAAAGTGTTTCCACCGTTCCTCCGCCACGGTGAAAAGAAACCGTAGAAAATATTCAAGTGGCGAAGCTACAAAAAGAAAGTGAAAGCGTTGTATCGGCCGATATAAACCGATCGATATTTCGCGAAAAGGAACAAGCCACGAGGGCTCGACTGAAAACTATATCATCTCGAAAGAATTGCACGTTGGACAATCAGGCGGATAAGCAAAGATAAAAACTACGTACGATATATATATATACCGTATCTATATCGGATCGTAACACGGAGAATTATTCGTAAAAACTCGCGCGCATTGAGTCGCGAAAGGGGTTAACGGTTCATTATCACCCCATTTCATCGATAGAGGCGTTGCACACCGTCACGGAACTCGAGCAACAACACTCGGCCGAGGGAATGTATAGCGGAGGGATAGAGCGGTGTACAGATGTGTATCACCGTGTGCACACGCTATATAGATATATACGTATACACGCGATACAAACGTGCATGTTGGACGGGACGCGTGGCGAACGAGGAGACCCGCTAGCCGCGTAGAATAGAGCGAGAAAAGGGGGAAGAAGAGCGTGTGCGGAGGAGAGGGAAAGAAGGAACGAGGAGTGCATCGAGTCAGTGGGCTAGTGGGGCCGGCAGAATGTAGCCCGTACTACGGTACACTGTCTCCCTCTTTATCTCTCCCTCGTTCCTTCCGTTCTTCCTTCCTTCCTTCTTTCCCACCGTGCCCACTCTCTTTCTCTACCTATCCTCCTTTGTCCGACGTACCGTGCCTATGCCTCGTCCTTCTCTCCTCTCTACCCGTGCAAATCGTATATAATAGCGGGTTCGCTATTCGCTTGTTGTGTAGGTCGCGTGCAACGGGCTTCTCTTTATTTCGAACACTACGTATAAACGCGTGTACGTGTTATATACGTCCAAAATCGTACGTGTACGAACGAAATATAAATATATATATATAT